GAGCTGCGGCAGCAGAGACATAACTGGTGTGAAACACACGTATGCTCCTCCCCAGCCTTTCAGCAATGTCAGTTACCACGCTCACGGAACGCAGGCAGTGCATTCCCGGTGTAATATGCACCTACATAGGCGGGTTCACAATATGCATATGCTCTGCCTTTTACACACTGAAGATGTGTCTCAAGATGTTTGGTTCAGTCAGCTGGATCGATAGAATACAGCCTCTAAAGGTCGGAGTGTTCTCTGTGGCATATTGTGTGTTGCATATTTCCACACTGAGCCATTATAATAGTATTCTTGCCACGGTGCAAGTGAATATTTTTCTAATGGAATGGGAGATGGACACTCAAATTGGTTTATTGGTTTATTGCATGTTACGCCCAAAACTAGACCGAGACCAACCCTTCTGAGCCATGCACCTGGCACAGCGACTGTTTTTCCACCTTTAAACTACCAAAAGTGATTTGGACACACCCTATATGCACTTCTACCATGCACTTTCGAGTGTTAAAATACAGCTCCTTATGTCTTGTTAATGGGTACTTCACTGACAAAAACATGGGAAGTGGCAAATAAGTCCTTCCCAACTGTGCTCTAATAGCGAGAAGAATATGAACATCAGCAATAATGGTATTGGCTGTTCTTAAACTCCATAAACATTTAACTGTAGACAACTAAAGCAGGATTTGGCACCAACCATGTCAGCAAAGCCTGACATCCTGACTGAGTTCCCACCCAACTCCTCCCAGTGCAAGACCTCACACACTGACCCACAATCAAGACCCATTCATCGATCAACTGTGATCATCATGCTGCGTGGCTGAAGGCATCCTTAACTCCTTCACTTCTCCTTTACTCCTCTGTTTGGCTTTTTAGAGAGTTAGAGAGGGAAAGAGAGAGAGATGTTCTCTGTGGGTTTCATGTGTGTCACAAACCTCCTCCACCCATGTTCCGTTCTGTGTGACTGGGCTCTAGACTTCATCACCCACTGACATCCAGACCTCTCTCCTGCGCGTGTGTGTGTGTGTGTGTGTGTGTGTGTGCTTACGTGTATGTATGATGGCCCGCTTATCTTTGATGAAAGCCCTAAGAAGATCTCACCCAGCCAGACACACAGGGCTACAGAACCCTTTCAGCTGTGTCACACACACACACACACACACACACACACACACACACACACACACACACACAGATGTTACAGCCACCATATAGAACCATGTGAACAACAACAGCTTTGTCCAAGGATTTGTCCAGAATAAAGAAAATATCCCAGTGAATGTCACAATGTCACAGTGATGAAAATATAAGCATCTGATCTGAGATTAGCACAGTAATGATCTCTGGTAGATCACTGATCTATAATCCGACAGGAACCCTCAGACAGTTTGGAGAAAACCCTTCTTTAATGTGTTGACTCGACGATCAGTTTCACCTCTGTGCATCCTTTTATATTTTTAGGATGACTGTAACACACGTGTCCAGGGACTGGATGAATAATAGCCTTGTGGCTAACTCTGGTACATTTACACCAGTGTTTATTATGTGTACTAATGTTCACAGCAGCAGGGCTTCAGGTACTGGTCAGGTGTGCTCCACAGGGGAAACAATGAAAAGTTATGAAATGTGCCATGAGCACTGTCCCTGTTAAATAAAACCATTAAAGGGAGGTCAAGGATGTTTAGCCTAGCTTAGCGCAAACAGCAGAGGGTAACTGCTAGCCTGCAGCTTCTTCGCAAGTGAAATAGTGAGAAGAGAGCAAGGCTGTTACATACACACTTGTCAAACTTGTCACTCAAAGAGCGAAACCACACACCAAATCTGCAAAACCATGAGCTAATTCTTTTCACTGTCGATCTCCTTCCACTGACCGCAGAGTTTCTTTTTTATCTGGACCATTACAAACTTTTCTTGGACACTTCTTAGGTTTTTCCACCACAACCTTCACCATACTCGTGCATCTTCTTTTTCATGGTTACTCCTTCTGGCTCCATGTTCTTTTGTCTATATGTAACATTAGTTGTGTCCCAATTCGGGGGCTGCATCCTTTCGGGGGACACTGTCTACGCGCCTTTATAGCTAACGTAGACCGCGAAGGCCGAACCGAAATGAGATGGTCCGGTCTACGGAGGATTTTTGCTGTGTATCGCCAGCTGTGCCCGCCTTTACTATTGCGTCGCAAAGTGTGTCCCTGTTTGCCTAGTAACCTTGACATAACTTATTCTTACAAAAACTTGAGGTTTTAATGCGCTTGGTTTTAACAGATGTACTGTTAGCTGTTGAACTGAGCCTTCAAAATGGGAAAGCCTAGTCACTCCACTGTGACGTAATGAGTCTTAAAATGCAGTCTCTGAAGGATGACACCTCTGAATTGGGACACAGCTATTGTAAACATACGTATGTGGAGACTCAATTAAGCACCCTACACATAGCTGCATGTTGTTTCCCAGGCTTTTAATGTGTCCCCTGAGCAACACAGTACAACCCACTGAAGGTTCCTGTCCACATATTTCAACGAGGAACCTTCAGCATGTTCTAATAGTTGCATAATAAGAGTCTGAGAAATAATACAGCTGTCAGTGTGGTGCTTAATTGAACCTCCAGATGTTTACACTGTACATATAGACAACAGAACACGCTCTTCAGCTCTGACAAACTTGCAAGTTGATGTAAAATGCTCAGAGTGGGAAAGTCGCCACAGACAGGAAATTAGGTGTACTGAGAAATACAGAGAGATTTACCTGAGGGACTTAATCAGCACTGTGTGAACTGGTCTGATGTTCATTTATATGTAAAAGTCCTGGACTCCAACTTATGATACACACACACACACACACACACACACACACACACACACACACACAGGGCACGGCTGACTGGGCCCAGGTTGATATAATCTGTTAAATACACTTTCTCTGCATTGAGGTCGTTCACTGTTTGACTTCCAAAATGTCTCTGTGTGCACATATGTGTGTTGCAGTCTGTGAACGTGTGTGTTTCAGTGTGTGTGTGTGTGTGTGTGTGTGTGTGTGTGTGTGTGTGTGTGTGACTAATGGCTTTAGTAATGCTAAGCCACATGGGGCTCGACTGCAGGTTATGAATAGAAAAACTCCACTGCAGCTCTTTATGAGCAAGCTAATCAATTTGGTTCCACAAGGCACGTGAGCTCTTTTCTCAATCAACCCATGTTCATCATCGAATTACCTGACACATTTGCATAATATTATACAGTGTGGAATAATCGTTATAGGCATGGTTGGATGGTAATACACTAGTCTCTCTTTCTCAACAATAAATAGTGTAACAAATTGCTGCTTAACACACAGTTTCACAACAAATACACTGACCAAAGTGAAATACATGGGCACACAAGACTCCATGTTATGTGATTTTTGAACGTCATTAATCTGCTGCTGTAATGGCCTTCTGCCGGTCAAACAGGGAGGACCATTGCTTCATAGAGCTGGCTTTCAACATGATGAAACAGGAAACACTACTGTCTAATTCATCATTGTAGACTGCAGCTTCAGATTTACCTTTAGTGGAATTTTGCCCAAACCATAAAATACATAAAAAAGTACACATAAAAGACATGTCCACATATTTATGTCCATATTCTTTGAAAAATAGAGCTTTTTTTTGTCTTTCTGCATTTCTTCTCATATTTTAATGGGAAAGCAAAGAAAGCTGTGCAGAAATGGTGCAGAAACTACCATTACAACTACTATGGGATAAGAATAATTCAGTCATTTCTTCTGTAAATTCTCATAGAAAAGTTGGCATTCATTACCTGTACGCTAAGAGGTTACATGCAAATGTTTCACATTAAAAAGCTGATTAGCAGTAATGCTCTTTGAGCTGCTGAAAGAGCTTTTGATGTGAAAAGTCTGCCAGGAAGTGATGGTAGCCAGCAGCAACTGCACAATAGCTAAATGGAAGCAAAGCTGGGAATAATACAGCGAATGAAAGATAAACTCAGAGTGACTATTCGGAAATGTACATTAGACTGAGTGGATCAACCCTTCAGGTAAACACAGAGGACATTTCCATTGAGTTTGCATGAGCAGCATCAACATTGCTTACTAAAATGGAAGCAGTATCTCACTGAATATGATAAAACACACACAGGGTAAATGAGCCTGTGTCTTATATAAACCTGTTTAAAATTAAGGCCTCAGTCATTGTTTGAGAATTCATGGTGATCATGATCAGCTGAACAACCTCACTGGTCAAACAGAGACACCCCGTGGTCATAAGCAGCCAGTGCAGGACTGGTCGTATCAGAATGAATGGGGACTTGCATGTGTGTATGTGTGTATTGTTAAACTCATAACAAAACATACAAAGTGTATGTTTGCCTTCATATCTCTCACAGCCAGATATTAGAAGGCAGAGCAGGTTGTCATCATTTGCCTAAAGGCGACTATATATGAACTCGTTTCATTGGAACCTGGAGACAAAATCTGTGTGTGTGGGTGTGTGTGTGTGTGTGAGAGAGAGAGAGAGAAAGACAGAGAGAGAGATGCCTGTGCATATGTGTAGAGCAGTTGTGTGTTTGTGTGTCTGTGTTTAAGACACTATGTATGGAGAGTCCAGCCATTCATACGTAGATGTGTACACACTGGATTGTGTGTGTGTGTGTGTGTGTGTGTGTGTGTGTGTGTGTGTGTGTGTGTCTGGATGACTCAGAGTGTCTCACAGCAATATTAATAACACATCATGAATACAACTCACGCTCACATAACACCTACTTCTCTCTCTCTCTCTCTCTCTGTTGAGATGAGATGAGTCGATGTATTTAGCTGTTAAATTATCTCTTTGTTTCTCCCTTTAATTTTCATCATTCCATTCTTCCTTCACATCCATCTTTCTTCCTTACCCCCCCCTTCCTTCCCTTTCTTTCCCCTGTCCATCCTTCCGTTCTTGCTTTCCTCCCTTTCTCATCCTTCATTTCCCTCCTCCTTCATCTCTCTGGTTTCCTGGCTCCACCCTCCTCCCAGTGTGCAGCAGCGCTCCCATCAACATGAAGGTGCAGCATGTGAACGGCAGCGCTCTGGTGGTCCGCTGGGCTCGTCCAGAGGTGACGTACCACCCGCCCATCCTCCACTTCCTGGTGTCCTACAGCTGGACGGCCCATGACGACAGCTACGAGGAGACGCACCTGACCGACGCCAAGCACAAACTGGTGAGGCTGCTACGGACGGGTTAGACTAACACACGTGGGATTTTAGGATTATAACTTAACAGGTGATGATATGATAACATAGGTTCCAATAGAGGAACCCAGCACGTTGGACGCAGCTGTGAGGAGAGTACTGCAGCAAGCGTCGTTGGTAAATCAGCTGATTCCTTTGAAAAGGCCAGTGTTGAGTTCAGGTGCTGAGAGGTTCTGAAATGTTGGATATAAATGAGAGATTACGTCTGAACACTGTTGTGTTCGTGACACCCAACAAACATGGACTCTGTGTGAATGAAATTGAATGGGCCAGCTCCATGTTATGTTGTGCTCTGACTTTTCTACATCAGTATCTGACCCAGTCTCCAGTAAAACGTGACAACATATTCTATTTCATTTTTTTTAATTCTATTAACTTTTTTATTTAACAACTAAAGCCTAATCATTTTTTATGTTTATGTAATACTACAGAAAGATGGCAGTCTTTACTATAAATCTTCAGAAGAACTTTGAGAGTCCATCAAAATAAAAGCACATTGCACAGCTATTCTCAAAACACAGGCTTTTTAAAGGTGATGTGCTCAGGTCAACTATAGACTGCCTTACAAATTAGATACAGGTTAGTTTTCAGTGATGAAAGAGATTTAAAAAAAGGTTGAAAAATTAGTTTAAAAACTATTTTGAAAGAATAGAAGGAATTTGCTGCTTTGTATTAAAACATTGAGATTCAGACTCCATGTGTAGTTTTTATGAGTTAAGTTGAAATCATTAAAAAACCAAACTCAGATTGGTGATAATGTGATCATTTTGTATTTATTTTGTAATACTAAGTGTTTTAAGAATATAGTGATAATGTTGTTAGCATCGATCATGATCTACAAATCACATGATTGACTGATGGACTGTATTTAATAAAACAACCTGAGCTGTGTGATGAAGGCAAGATGTGTAGGCTAGTGTACTGCAGAGGAATTGGGCGAAGTTTAAACCAGTGGGTCCTAAACGTTTCAAACTTTTCCATGACCCACTTGCAAATTTCAAATATGGTGGTGGCCCATATCCGACCCTGTAACAATACGGAGGCCTAATAATACTTTCTTAGAGCACTTTTTGTTTTATGATGACGATGGAACATTCAGGACTGAACTGAAGCAGACGGGAGAGAGGTCACTTGTTGATTCACCATCTGTCTCTGACTCTCTTTCCTGTTTACTCTTCCTGTTGCTAACCAGCTATCCATCTGAAAACTCCATTTGCCATGGATGTGATCTTTTAGTGAACAATCAGACTGAGTTAGCAAACAAGTATATGACGTGGTCCGGCAGCAACACACGACTTCCTATTATTGGCTATAGTGATAGAGATTATTATGAGGGGTAAAAAACATTGAAAGGAGTTTTTAAGCATTTTTAATGTTTTCAAATATCATTTCATTTTAAAACATTTAAAAACACTATTTATATATAAATATAATTACATCCTTTCACCAAAATTGTGCTGTTTTGCAAATGATTACCCACAGGTCGGTAACCACTTCTCTCAACCTAAACCCAACACATGGGACTAAGCTTTGTCCATCCAACCAACCTGACCTTCTGTCGATTTAAAGTCAAATTATTTAATTTTTTTTTAATCAGAATAGAATCTGTGAATAACAGATTGAATCCTCTTCAGCCAGTAATGCATACAGTGTCCCAACAGTGTCTGGTATAAAACAGTGTTCATTAATGAGTGTGCATGCATATCAGCAGAAGAGTTTAACTATGTCAAATATAAAAAATAAAAAAAACTGTGCAGTCTAAGACACACATATTCATGACATTCCGTTTGACACCATTTGATAGCAGCATTCAATAGTCTCACATATTAGGAAATCACATTAAATATGTGTGCATATATAATGAGCTGAGTGCTTTAAATCCTTCTTTGAATGAGCTCTTCTCATTACACACACACACACACAGACACACGCGCACGCACACACACACACACACACACACACACACACACACACACACACAGTCTTTCTCTGATGTGCTTCCTCGGCCTGGTTTGTGTGAGAAGAAAAGAAGAAAATCTTTTCTGACTCATAACTGTTGATAGCCGTGTGTTTGTACTGTCATTTATTCCACAGAGATGCAGAGAACAATGGAGGCTTTCAGCTCTTCCTCACACACACACACACACACACACACACACACACACACCCACACACACACACACTGCTCAGACTCCATGTCCACAGTTCTTTGTCTCATCACACCAACGTGTTTTAGGCTGTGTGAGGAATTCCACGTGTGAAGTTAGTTTCAGTGGAGTTTGTTTCAGCTTGTCGCTGCGTCTGTGCTCAGCCTCTCTGGCAGTGACACAGAGCAGCAGCCGCCACGGCTCAATAATGAATGAATTGTGACTAATGACTGTCGAAGCTGGTGTGGTTCATGCTGCAGTCCCTGTCAAAGCCACTGGGTGTCGGCTTGAAGACACCCACATGAAGTGGAAAGTCTGTCATAATAAGACATGCACATGCCATATATACACTGGCAGTTATTTGTTGTCCTCAATAGAGGTGTATTATATGGATAAAATCCTGTCATGCTATATGTAACTATATTGCAATATTCATATATACCATAATATGATTTACATTTACATTTATTGTGAAGCTATGTCAGGATTTGCTGATGTCAGCACAGGCAGGGTGGAGCCACAGGAAGAGTCAGTGAAGACAGTAACAGTGAAAAAGAGGATGGGGGGGTATCCAGGGACATCTGGTGGGCAGAAGGAGAATAGCAGGAACATGAAGATGAAGGGGAGGGGCATGGAGGTGAGGAGGAGGCATGGAGATAAGGGGGCGGGCGTGGAGATGAGGTGGAGCATTGGGATGGGGGGGTTGTGAGATGTCAGGAAACAGTGGAGCAGATCATGAGAAATGACCTGAGATACCATCATTTGATCAAATAAAAATGTCTGTTTTGTCTTATAGAGACGGTAAAACAGGCTCATTACCTGAAACACAGCCCACAGTGGCCTCACAGTGGCATCATATTGAGAAACGCTGGCTGTAATCATCCCTCCACATAGGGACACATATTTGTGGAGCTGCTGCTGCACCAAATCCACAGCCTCAGTCTGCAGAGCTAATGTCAGGCTTCAGCACACATCAAGTCAGGATCCCTGTACGAAGTAATTGCTCGATGACCAGTGTGGGCAGGAGGAATGGGAGGAACGCTCACAGCAACCAATACGTCTCTCACACACATATGGCAAAAAAAATCTGACATCCTTGAAAATCAACCTTTCCTGCAGGTAGATGTATTACAGAACAACAGGATTAGATTTCCTTAATATGAAACAAACAGGAAGTGCAGAGTTAGCAGCAACAGCTGCAACAACAAATCAAACATGGTAAACGTAAGATGAAAAAATTCAAACAGAAATATAATACAACACGCTCATAAAACAGGGAATTAGAAAAAAAGCTAAATGCATATGATTTTCTGTTAGTGCTGATTTTTTTTGTTTTGTTTTATTCATGTCAATATTTGGAATCTGTACAGGCCTTAAAAGACCCAAATGGGTCACATCAAAGTCCAGATTCCAGATCAGCCACTGCCAGCACCACCAACTGATCATCAGCCAATAATCACATAATTTCCCTGCAGAGCCAAACACACACACACACACACACACACTCCCATCACAGAGCACTCCATATATTTCATTTGTAGTTACTATTCACACCTCTTTGGCTCCTTTCCTCTTTCCTTTATTCAACCCTTAACTCCTTTCCTTCTTTCCTTCTTTCATTTCCTCACTCTTCATCTCTTCAACCTAGAAACACACCACACACTCAACCTATTGATTAATAAACCATGATTTAACCTCTTCACTGTGATCCAATGTACATTTGAACATATTTGAATCCTGTAGTATATTTTCCATCTGTGCTCACACTGTATCACTGTCTGGATGAATTTTTGATCAGCCTGATGATGAGCTACAGTCACCTTTATTTTCTGTAAATGTAAATTATGGACTAACAGATAGTCAGATGCAGCTGCACTGGGGGAAAGCATGTGTAGTGTGTGTGTATGTGTGTGTGTGTGTGTTTGTGTGTGTGAGTTATTTCAGAAATAAAGAGGATTTTACATCATCAAAAATTTGACTGCGAGGGCCTTGAAAAATCTAATAAGTTGTTTTGGAACAAAACTGTTTTGATACATAAAAAAAATTAGCTCTGATTGCATCATTTAAAATATTTTTTATTTAACAAGTTGTCACACACGTGGCTTTGACAACTTCTCATGAGAAAATGGGTCAGCTAAGGTTTCAATAAAGTAATTATTCTAATTATTAATTTGTGTGTGTGTGTGTGTGTGTGTGTGGGGGGGGGGGTTGTGACACAAACACACATACCACACTCCAACACGCATGCACAGGCCACAGGCACACGCCCAACATCCTCCATCAGTTCCATTACAAATGGTCTCATCAGGAGCCAGAATGAGCTGTGAGAGGAGCGGTGAGCAGACAGGAGGTTTCATTCCCTTACATTGTGGTGTGCCGGTCAGCTCACAGAATACTAATGCTAAGCTGGAGAGGATACAGGGCTGCCAGCCTGTGCAAAAAGCATGACCTTGGGCCAGTGGCTGTGTGAGAAAACAAGATTTGCTGAAAAAATAAATAAATAAATAAATAAATAAAAGGGATCAGAGTGCCCCCTGGCTGTGGAAAGCAAGATCCGCTTTCAGAGCTGGGAATCTGCCATGATGAGAGATGGAGAGAGAGAGAGAGAGAGAGAGAGAAAGAGAGATGTGTGTAGTGTTTTATCCTCCCGTCATTAACTCAAGAGACCCCCTCCCCAGTAATCCCCACTTCGCTCTCCCTCACCCCATTTCCTTTTCTTCCTCATGTTTTCTCCCCCTGGTTCCTCTTTCCACTTTGATTCTGTTCTTATTCCCTGTATCCTCCCCTGACACCTCTAACTAGGTCACAACAGGGACCTTTTG